AAATTGAGCATACTCTTATGTTTTACATTTATATTTTTATTATTTTCCAACACGCAACAGCTCCCTGCAAGGTTAGCTGTCTTTTCAGGGCATGATGTGTGTTTGTTTACTATACCAATGAATCCTAGAGAGGATATTGCTAGAAAAGTAGACTTTTATATAGTTAAACAGTGTTTGTAAATCATTTTCATAGATGAGTGGGGTTTATTACATCCCAGAAAACTATTAATTTTATTCAATCTTTTCAGCAGTATACAAAAGCATTGAACCAACTTCTAAAAGTACAGATTTAGGTTATGTAACAATCCCCACTTATCTAGCCTTGGATAGAGGAAAAATACAAACCACAAAAATATTTCAAGATAGTTTTTCACCCAGTTCTGAAAAAAGTACCTTGATACTGAATATTTTCCTCACTCCTCTCTTACCATTGTAGTCCAGTGGAGAAGTAGTCGTTTTGGGTCATCAGAAACCTGAGCCAGACCAGCTCCCAGCTTAGTGAGACTCGGCCAGGAGAGCACTGGAGGGTCAGAACTGAGGAGTCATTCCACTCCTATCACAGTACTGGCTTTCACCCCTTCCACAACGGGCAGCCACGCACAAAATGACATCTTCCAGCCAATGGACACTCTATGGTTGGTGAGCAGGAAGTACATATAGCTGTCCCCTGAAGTAGGACGGGGCCTGAAAAATGACACCCCATCAGAGAGAGGTCCTCTAAACTTCAAAGGTACTGTGTGTTCATAAGTTAACTTAGCTGTGTATTTGCTATAATGATGGGGTTCATAGAACTGCAAGGTTTTCTCCATCTCTTTCTACCACTCTACTCTTTATTCATGTTACCCAGTCTCCATGATGATGGGCCACCATACCCTTCACCCCATTCCAGAGTTCGTTGGTTGAAGGCCATCAATTAAAGTCAGGTTCAGTCCGGGAGGTAGGCACTGTTTCACCTCATTCCTCCACAATATCTGACTGCTCATAACCTTGTAAGTCTGACTTTGTTACACTCTTTTTCCTTATCCCACTCACACATACACACTATGCATACAAAGACATATACAAATACTTGCAATTCTCTGAAAGTGCTTGAGTTGAACCTCTCTGTTTGTTTAAGAAGATGCACTAAATGGGTTTGAGTGTTATTAATAACTGCAATTTCTTTGTCATTTGAATTTTGCAAGCAAAATCAATGCTCCCCTGCACCCTCATGATTACCACACACAAATTCTGTGACTGGGTGATTAAGCACACAGACTCTGAATAGCTCTGAGCGCACAGTGGAGCTACTAGCTGGATAGTGACACAGGTCTGCAGGTTATGTAGCTCTCGACTAACATCCACATTATCAAGTCACTCCATACATCATGTTCAAGTTATAGGGTCTTTGTACATTTCATCCACTCTACGTTTCTTGCCAACATTATTATTTTATTGCAGCAAACTGGTTATAACCTTGCTCATTCCTACTGTCCAGCAAACATATGCTGCTCAAATAGAGATGTGAGATGATACGGGCCAATTTTTAAGCAATGACACATTTGCAATTAATTTTTTAATCTCAGCTCTGTCTCCTCTCCCTCTCTTCTGCTCAGTCGTCTATTGGTGGTGATTTCATCTCTTCTCACAGCACTGTAATTGTGAGGCTAAAGTCTACTTGTCCCTCTGTTGACTTAGGTCTATCACTTCTGCTTTCGGGACCTATAATTTACATTAATGGCACAGTTCACTCTTGGGAATCTCCTCTCATGTTCTACTGTCAATGATTCTACATGTTGACTAATTTGTCACTGTGTGTCGATATATCTTAAAGGTATCACTGCATTTTTATTAAGCCATGATCTAACCTTCTTCATCTCTTAGGCATGACAAAAATAATTGGCAGGTGACTTGTGCCAATATCTGAACAATCTAGTGAGAGAGGAAGGATGTAAAAGGGGGGATGTGCTAGAGCTGTTTATCCTTCGTCCATTTCACATTCCTGTACACTGTGTAATTTCATATAAAGGTATTACTCCCTGAGTAATGGGGTGTTAATTAAACACAATTAGAGACCCTACTTTTTCAGAAAAAGCACAGATTTACGTAGTTGTTTATGTCAGTACTCTTGAATGCCTAGTAGGAATCATATGGCATTGCCTTTCATTTATTCACAATTCTAATGCTATGTAGTGTCATATTGAACCAGTTTCCAACCATTTCTGGAGAAATGTGTGTCTGCGCATGTAAACAGATGTTGAATCTAATCCTGCATCAAGTCCGGTTGGAAATCTTTGAGGGTCGTGCATAATGAAAAACATCAGCAATCTCTCAGCTAACTGGGGTTCAACCCTTCCATTAATCTTTTTATGATTCTCTCT